CTGCGCCCGCGCGGGGTCCGCGCGCCCCGGGCCGCCGCCGCCGCGGGCTCCTGCGAAGTTTCCGCGTCGGCTGCAACTTAAAAACGCCTCTTCTGGCGGATTTACGGCTCCTCTAAAGAAAGAGCAACACTCACTTTCAGCTTTCAAGGCATTCGCGAATCGGAGATAGAGTATTTCGGGGCTCTTTGAAAGTGAGGCGCTCGCTCCAGCTGGAAGCTCAAAGTTTCCGCGTCGGCTGCAACTTAAAAACGCCTCTTCTGGCGGATTTACGGCTCCTCTAAAGAAAGAGCAACACTCACTTTCAGCTTTCAAGGCATTCGCGAATCTGAGATAGAGTATTTCGGGGCTCTCTGAAAGTGAGGCGCTCGCTCCAGCTGGAAGTTCAGAGTCTCGCTGTGGAGCTGGAAGGCTGTAAAATAAGATGTTTACCTGAAACCATAAAGTTTTTAAGTTAAAATACGTTTTCAGCGAGGGGAACGTTCTGCAACAGTGAGAAACAATCCACGCTGTCTGCAAAAAGTTTGAAATGCCAGAACAGATTAAAGACTCGTTAAAAACACACACAAAACAAGCATCCAAAGCAGCAAAAACGTCGGAGAGGGCAAGTTTTACTAAACTGCTTTCCTCTGCATGGTTCTTAAAATATGTTTTTACCTAAAAGTCCTGAATTGAAATACAGAGAGCTGCATCTGCTTCTGTGATCCATTTTCTCATAATCCATTTAACCTTATCAATACAATTTAGTAACTTAAATTTCATATATTTATCTCAGACAATACTGTGCTTTTCTTTCCTTAAAGCCAACCCTTATTTACCAGCTCAACATATAACTGCTTTTCTCTCATAACTGCTGAAGAATGAAGACATCCAGCAAATATTTACATTCCCTCAGAAAAAGCTTAGCTAATCGGAACAAAACTTCAGTGAATTGCACTTGCAGCCTGTTTGTTTAGCTACATATCATGAGTATTGGAGATTTTCTAATAACAAAATGTTTAAATTGAGAAATTATCAATTGAAATAAAAATGGCAAACTACTCACCTGAAACAAATGAATGATAGTACTTTATATAAATCAGTCCCAAACTGTTTCTGTCAGTGTCAGAGTAAATTACTGAAACTTTGCATTGCTTATTTGGCAAAATCTTGTTCAACTCTGCTAAATTCCCTAATTGCTGTTAATCTAAACTACGACTTATAAAATATCACTTTCTCAAACTGTACTTTTTTGTATTTATGTATGAATTATGAGTTTCACATAGATATGTCTATGTTCAAAAAACAGACAAAATACATGTTGATTTGTGACAGAAATCCCCAGATACAGATATGAACGTTTGTATTTACAAATAACCTTTAATCTGGAAGCTCTTTACTTTATTATTGACAACTTATAGCTGATTGGTCACCTGCTTCTTGAGGAGGAAAGCAAAAGTGATTATAAAAGAAACACTAGATGACAATGAAAAATAATTTTCAAGATGCATATTAGTAAAAATATACTGATTTGCAAGCAATCAAGCATGCTTAGTGACATGTAAGTATCAGGGGACAAGTTAGCAGTCCCCCCCAAATATTTGTAAATGTTAGTTTTCATTGTTCAGTTAGCATTACACAGTTTCCATTGCCATAGTGAGATGGTGCTACTGATATAACTGTGGTGCTAACCATATATCTGCTTAATTTACCAGAAAATTCTCACCTACTCCAACAGAAATTTTTGATATGCTTTGATACATCATCCCAAAAATGGATTTAAAAAAACTCTGAAACACAAATAAATGCAAACTAAAACAGTTTTATGCATCCATTTGCATTGCATGCAAGACTTCTATTATGAATGCATAATGTCAGTGGAACAATGGACTAAATATATATATTTGGCTGTATATGCCTGTGTAAGTACATTATCACAAGAGCTCCCCAGTTGTTTTCAGTGAAGTCATCAGGAGCTGTAGCATGCATTATACTGACAGGAAAAGGCCTATTTTGAAAACAATAATTTGGTAATACATAAAGGAAAATACTTGAAAAAAAATCAAATTGAATTATAACAATTTGTTTTGTATTAAATACAGTTTAAGAACAAGCACGTATTCTTCCCCTATTCTGTCTACTGCTGTGGAGGAATGACCGTGGCTCATCTTCCATTTGGCCCCACTCCTTTGCCCCAAATCCTGTCTTCTCACTCATTATCCTTACATCCTAAGAGTCCCCTCTATGCAAGCGTGATCCATTCCTTGAAAAAAAGTCAGGGAAAGACGGATAGAGTATGGGGAAAGGGAGTTTAGAAAGAACTGGGATGATGGCAGTATAGGAGTATAGCTGGAAACAACCAGCTGAGCGTGGGTGAGGCAGGAGGGGCCCCCTTGAAATAGGCACCTTGCACGCTGCTGCAAAGCAGGGCTGGAGCAGCACACGGAAGACTGCGGGCAGCAAAAGCACAAAGGCAGCTAAACCCCAGGCTCGAGAGCTGAGGAAATACAGCCCCAAATTAAATCCCGTATGGAAAGATCCTGGGCAAGTTAGTAAAAATAATTGCATTTTTATAAGGATTTTCTGCTAAATGACCTCACAGAATAGAGTAATTATTACCCAGCTACTGAATCGCTATCACAGTTTAGGAACCTACAGGCAGCATATTTTTCACCAAAGTATTTTTCCATAAATCTTGAGGATGATTTATATCAAACCCTCCTTCATAAAGGATTGCTTTTACGAGGGCTTATTCACCAACACTGAACACACGCAATGAGCCAATTTGCTCAAAGAGCGCAGGTCAACCATTTTCTCCAATTCCTGCAAATGCTCATACGAGCAGCCTCCCTTCCACAAGGATATTAAGAGCAAGCAGGAGCGTTGGCAGCCTGCAAACGTTGCTTGCACTGCTGCTCATGCTAGCAGCCATGTTGAAAACGCTTGGTGGCTTTGGGAATTACCTAGTCCGGATGCAGAGGAAAGCCTGCGTGATCCAAAGCGAGCTGCGCTGCGTTCAGCAAAGCAACGGCTCTGTTCAGAGACAACTGACACACAGAAAAAGAAAGAAGTAAATAAATATATTGTTTGTTCAGCTCTGCTCACGTCTCTGATTTCTACTCTGCAAGGATCCATGTGAAAGGTTATGCGGCTGGAACTACATAATAAAGCTTCTGTAGAAGTGACATACTATCAG